TGTCGGAACTTAAATCCTCCTCCTGGCCAGCTGCCGTCAGCGGCCCACGCACATAAACGACAGGTGCGAGGGGACGTAGGTGAACTGTCGGTTGTGCGACAGGTCCGCGGCGGAGCGCAGGACGCTGGACCACTGACCGTCTCCGACGACCTGTGGGCCGCAGCCCAGGAGCCCAAACGCAGGGGTGGAGCAGCGAGGAGGGGGTTAGTTCAGCAGGAGGAGGAGGAGGACGACGAGAAGGAGCAGGAGAGGGAGCAGGGGAGTACCGAGGACGAGGACGACGAGAAGGACTGGGACTGGGAAAGGGAGGAAGAGCAAGGGTCATGGCAAGGGTGAGGGCGGTAAGGGGGGAAGGAGGCATGAGAAGGGGAGGGAGAAGGAGAGCGAGGAGGACGAGGAGAATAAGGACGGGCACCAGCAGCAAAGGGGGGTAGGATGAGGAGCAGCAGCAGCAGCAGCAGCAGCAGCAACAAACCAATGAGGAGGCACGGACCCTGTCACGGGCAAGCACGGAGCCAACAGCATCACCCACCAAGGCCACGCTAATGGCGATGTTGGTGAATGGCGATGTCGGGAATATAAGTGTTGCGACGCCGAACTCGGGCAACACGAGTTGTAGGAATACACGAACAAGCCTTTCCTACAATTGGGCTGGAAATGAACCCCACCCCTACAACACCGAAGCCGACATCGCCGTTACCTATATCGCCGTTTGCGTGTCTACGGACCCAACTGTGCCCGATCCAATGGGCGAAAGGCTGCAGAGCCCAGGTGAACCAAGACACAGCCCGGTCTCCGTCCTTCCACCGTGAGAGAAATGTCTGATGAGAACAGACGCACAAGAAGATTATCGTTGGACTGGCAATCCACTTGGCCTCCGTGCGGATGGTATTCGAGATGGATCGGTCAGCATGTCGTCAATACCCAACTGCAGAATCCTGGCGCTCATCTTGCAGAATTCGTGCTTCCACCGACCCTTTCCCGTCGTTTTCTTTCGCTGTTGGTGGCGCGTGGTTGCGCGCGATCGCTCAAAAGCAGGGGGGCTCGCCACCCGCGCCCGCCCGCCCCACAGGGCGGGACGGGAGTGCACACCGCCTGGAGGGCATCGGGGCGCCCCTCTCCCTCCTCTGGAGGGTGCTCAATGAGCATTGTGAGAGAGACAACCGCCGTGTCGGGAGGATGGGGTCTGGGAAGATACAGGGCACGACTTTGTAATAAGCCCTGTCAGCATACGAGAAAACAGGGATGACCTGATCATGTTCCTCGAACGCCCAGTCTCCCAACCCGAAACATGTCCTTCTGGCATTGGGCTACAGCATTTTCCTTGGCTAGCTCCTGTGCCTGCACATGGGCGCATGAGGTACTGCGCGCGCGCTCTACACCAAGGGTGCAGCGCTGCTGGCTCTGGACAAGTCAAGAGTTCGGGTTACAGTTGCTTCTCGTCTTTCGTGTCAAAATTCTGGACGCGGTGGGCACGAAAAGCATGATCGCTCTCTCAGCAAGAGGACTGCCAAGCAGAATGCTCAGTCCAGGGCTGCCCCAGCTGCTGACCAACCAACGCCGAAGGACGCCCAGGACGCCCGCAAGGGCAAGGGCGCGACGGTGACGACATTCCCTCTCTGCGGCAGCTGGCGCCCAATGTGACCCCAGACGTGGAGCTGCGGACCATCGTGCAGGCGCGCGTGAGCCCGATCCGCGGCGGATGCAGTGAAGCGCCCCGCGGGAGGACGCGGATCACAGATGCGGATCACAAGCACTCGCAGGCGTACCCCAGGGTGATGAGGTTCGAGGATAGCGTACATGTGGCCCAGGAGCGTGGGCGTGCTGCGGGAGGGAGGAGAAGGGAGGGAGGGAGGGGGGGGGAGGAGAGGATGGAGGAAAGGAGGCGGCAGAGGAACGAGGAGGGATGGAGGAGGGTAGAGAGGAGGGAGGATGGATGGCAGGCGGGGCTCGGGGTTGTGCACGGGCAGCCCCCCCCCGAGGCACCGCCTCCTTCGGTAGAGGCCTCCTAGATGGGGTCGGAGTAGATGGAGATGGAGTCGGAGGATCGCGCCGCATCGCCGATACATCGGCGATGCATCGGCGATGCATCGGCGATGCACCTGCGATGCATCTTCGACGTCGGCGATATCGTCGACGTCGGCGATGCATCGGCGACGTCGACGTGAAGCAAATCGGGCTCCGCATCGAGCCGCATCGCCGATGCATCGGCGATGCGGCGGGATCCTCCGACCCCATCTACCACGACCCCATCTAGGGGGCCTAGATTCGGCGCCCCCATTGGGCTCCGCGCACCAGGGCCAGGGCGTTGAGACCGCCGTGTGCAACTCTTGATGGGCCAATGTTCCACCACCACCACCACCTCCATACGTTGGAGGGGGAGAGGGTCCTCCTCCCCCTCTTCTTCTTCCTCCTCCTCCTCCTCCTCCTCCACCTCCTTCCTCCCTCCAACTTATGGTGGTGGTGGTGGACAACAGGCCCATCAACTCTGGCGAGGGATCTCTTTCTTGAGTCGGCCGCGCCGGCGAGCGCGGGCGCGTCGACGTGCGGAGCCGCCAGGCCGCGCCGCGCCGGGGCGGGCGGCACAGCAGAGGACGGCCGCGGAGGCGGGGCGGAGGGGGAGGGGCCCAGCCGCCGAGAATCGACGGCGAGGACGGGCCCGCTCGGAGGGGGGAGCAGGGAGGAGACCGACAGCGCTGCTCCCCGGACCTCTTCGGGCGCGCCTTCCGACGGGGATTCGGCAGCGAATCCCGCCGTGACGGCGAGGGAGGGGCATAGCGGCATCGGCACCCGGCCCTCTCTCGCTCGGGGTTGCGGCCGGGCGGGCCTAAATTACCCATACCCTCGACGCCGTGATTTCTCGCGACGTTGGCCCCTGGAGATTTCTCGACCCACTTCCCGGGACCAGCACTGTTGCTTTCTGACGGTCGGGGCCCCGGGAGAGCCCCGGGCCCCGAGAGGCCGAAAACGGCCAAAAACATCCCGTCGAGATGATGTTACGACGCCGTGGTATCTGGGTGCGTACCTCGTGAGACTGCCTGTGCGCCTATGGGATCTCAGCACTGCAGAAAAAATGCAGCGTTGCGACAACCACAGGAGCCCCAGACCCCATCCATCTTCCTGCTCCATTTTTCGAGCAGGATCGGTCCGTGCAGGTGCCTAGTCCCGAAAATGTGCGACAATACCCGCCTCGGAACAAAATGCGTCGCCAGAGTCTCAAAGAGGGGCGGGCAAAAAGACGCAACTAGACACCCGACGCTCCAAATTTTTCGGTGCGTGGATCCCTGGGGGTCTGGACAACAGCCCTTCAGGCCAGCTTTTGATCCTGAACCCTGTTCCGACGGTCCTGGGGCCCCTTGAGGACCCTCGGAAACCGAACACGAACCCAAACCGGCCGCGCCAAAGTGTGGGACCTCGGATCTATTGGGAGGCGGCGGGGCCGCCACGGCCTGCACCTCGGGCGCGGCGCCGTACCTGGCAGCGCAGGCCTCCGGAGCGGGGGGTGGGGCGCGCCGGGCGGGCTTGGCAAGGCTCGCGACGCTGGGCGGGGAGGGAGGGAGGGAGGAAGGGAGCAAGGGAGGGAGGGGGGTGGGGGGGCCCTCCTTGGAGAGGGACCGCACTGGGCATCGCAGCCGCGGCGATCTAAAATCGGCCCACGCTGCATGCTTTTAGGCTTGCGGGCGCAAGGGAAATACATGACGATGGAGGCAGGGGAGGCGGAGGAGGAGGCAGAGGAGGGAGAGGAGGCAGCGGTGGCATTAAGGAAGCTGGTCCTGAAGGAAGCGGGTCTCATATCCCCGATCCTCTCCCCTACACCCTCGCCAAATATGAAAATTACACGCCGTTCAAAATCGAAGCGCTCGATCGTCCGGGCACATGTCAGAAAATGCGTCCTTCAATGCTGTGAGGGCACTGCCAGATTTCCGACGCCCCTGTGTCTGGGCCAAATACCTCGTGCCAGCACCGAAGTAGCGCCGACCACGCGAGCACCGAAAACAAGCACCGTCAGTCAGTTGTTAGCGAGTCTTGTAGGAGCACCTCTTCATCCCGAGCCGATTCTGGACGGCCTCGGGGGGCTCGGGGAAGGCCCCGTAGGAGCCCGAGGGCGGCGACTGTGGTCGGCGGTTCAAACATCGGGCCCCGCAGAACCCAGACCCCCTCGAGTCATGAAACAATAACGGTTTTCGCTGTGTTCTGCCTCTGGGGGCCCTTACCAAGCCTCCGGGCCGTCAAAAAACGACGGAGGATGAAAAACCGGGGAATTGTTCGAGACCTCTGGGGGACACGGTTATGAAAAAATCATCACGTCGGGGATCTGGGGACTGGACTCTGGTCTGAACGTGAACTGGTCGAGGCCCCCCGTCTATAGGATCCCCTCGGGGCCACATCTGTGAACCGGAATGCATGGCGATGCCCCCAGGCCGCGACAAGCCTCAGGGCCTTGGTTCCCTCAGGTCCCCTTCGCAGACATCCTGCCATACAATGTTTTCCCGAACAGAGCTGGGAACATCCCAGTGCTTGGTGGACACACTGTTCTGATGACTTGCAAACAGATGCGTTCACGCTGAAGCTTACGTCTGCAGTGACTCACCGCCAAATGACGAGAGACACATCGCCCAGCTCTTCAAACGGCCTGAGAAAGGCTCAGCACCAAACCTCACACTAGAAGCCCTCAAGCGACGAAGCAGCAGACGCCCGCGCAGCACGAGCACCCCAGCTGCACCAAGGGCCCGGGCCGACACGGCCTCGGCCTCGCGAGGAGGCGTGCTGGAATCTCGAACGACTCGGCCAGCAAAGGCAGGCTTCTGCCAGCTGCAGCGCACGACAAATCTGGCAAGTATCTTTGTGCGTGCGCTCGTAATTAGGCGCTCATGCAGCAGAACAAGCGGTCGGGTGTCGACATCGATCACTGAGGAAATGGTGCAACACCTGCCAGTGGAGCCATCGGCGACCCTCCAGAATAGACATACTTGTTTGTACGATCCCCGTGCCTCCTTGAATCATAGCGGCATGCCCTCCTGCTTCAACTGGCGGATCCAAGCCTCCACGCGACCCTCGGTCAAATCGATCTGATTCTCCTGGTCCAACGGAAGCCCCAAGAACTTGCCGTCTACCTCGCTCTTGGACTCGGCGTGCTGGTATGATGAGGCGTCCACATATCCAATCATCTTGGCACCCGCCGCGCTGAATGCTGAATGGATCTCCTCGATAGCATCACAGAAATTGGAACTCCACTCGAATGAGTCTCCGCAGCCGAACACTGCCACCATCTTCCCACCCATCTGCAGATCACGAATCTCAGCCAAGTGGCCATCCAGGCTGGTACCAGACCGCTTCTCGTGAGCCCCCGTGTTCCACGTCGGCGCCCCAACGATCAAACCGTCGTACGTGTTCAGGTCCCCAAGGACGGCCGTATCGCCCAACTCGACCGGCACGACGCCTATCATCTCACCGACCAGCTCGGCCACCTCCTGCGTGTTGCCAGTCCGGGTGCAGAAGAAAACCCCGATCGCGCGCATGCAGGGGCGCCTGCCACGATTTCCGTGGAGAGCCCTCGCGCTCGCCATTTCTAACAGCCCGGTCGCTCCTGCTGTGCGAACGGAAACGGCCACCCCGCTGGAAGATGTTGCCGGCACTGCGAATAACGGAAGCCCAGGCTGAGCCACCAAGAAAGGGATGAGAGTGAGAGCGGCCCTGGCTAAAAGAAGCGCAGGGCGTGCCACACCTCTGGTGCGGCAGTCACCAATCATGGGGCCGCATGGACGAGAGTAGCAAATGGGACGTGGAGTGCAAGACGCCTTGGAACGGAGACGTACGCACAGCACTGCAAGCACAAACGACTTGAGCCAAAATGACTACGGCATCCTGCCGTATAATGTTCAGTCCGTGACACCCACAACACTCCCGACCCCTTCCCAAGGGGTAATTTTGCGACCCGGATCCGTACTTGATGGTCCCGGGGCCCAGCGGGCCTCGGAGGCCCAAACCGATGACCAAAAACAACTGACTGAATACAGGATAACCCTGAACGGTCTCTAGCATCCCCCCCAAGTACGGGGTACCTAATCATGTTATCGGCGGCCTTATTGAAGGACTGGGATCCCACAAATCGGGGGTGACCATATACTTTTTTCCGCGGCACACGCCGTGCAACAACAACAACAACAGCAGCAGCAAACACAACAACAACAATCATTTAAAAACTGTTCGCCCTTATATGCTCGAGTGTCCAATAAAGCGTATTTCCCAAACCGTCGATACCCGCCCTCTTCGTCTTCGATCGAACCCCTTTTGGGGGGTATACCTTTTTTCCCTGCAGGCCGGACCCCGGCAAGCGGCAGGGCGGCCGCGGACCGTCGGCCTGGCCAGCGGCAGCGCTGATCGGCGGGGCGGCCGCGGACCGTCGACCCGACCCCAAGAGGGACGGACAGGGGACCGACCACGACGACGACGACGACGACGACGACGACGACGTCGAAGACGACGGCGACGACGGCGACGACGAGCGAAAGCGAGAGCGAGAGAGAACGACAGCAGGGCCACGAAGGGCACGAAGTAGGCCACGAAGGGCGACAGCGGGGACACGAAGGGAATGCGTATGGGGCCGCGAAGAATGCGAACGAGCGGGGGCCACGAAGTGCTGATAATGCGGGGCCACAGAAGGCAACGATGGGGCCACTGAGGGTAGCAACTGGGCCACGTAGGACAATGAGGGGGACACAAATGGCGACAGTGGGGCCACGAAGGGAATGCACATGGGGCCACAACGGGCGCGACTCCTGTGTGCCTCGGTGTCGGGAGCGCGACGCTTGGGCAAATTGGAGGAAATTCCATCGCAAGGCTATTCTTCAGTAAGTTGCAAGCAAGTCTCCAGCGAAAGCGCGACTTCAGAGTTCCGGGAGAGCGATTCCTGAATAAATGGTAAAGAAGTCCCAAGCGAGAGCGCGATTCCTGAATAAAATGCGAGGAAGTCTCGGGCGGGAGCGGGCGTCCTGCCTAAATTGTGAGGAAGTCTCAGGCGGGAGCCGTTGTTGTTGTATCCCGGGGGCCAGGGGGCAAGTTTGAGCAGGAAGACTTTCCCTGTCAAAAACAGGGTGCGAGCGTAATGAGAAAAAACAGTATGCACCGGTGGGGGGGATCAGCAATAATTATTCTTCAGAAATGAGAAGTAAACAACAACAACAACAACATCAACAACATCAACAACATCAACAACATCAAAAACATCATCAACAACAACAGCATCACCGACAACAACAGCAACAACAACAACCTCAACAACAACAATAACAACAATAACAACAATAACAACAACAGCAACAACAACAGCAACATCAACAGCAACATAAACAGCAGCAACAACAGCAACAACAGCAGCAGCAACAGAAACAGCAACAGCAACAGGAACAGCAACAGCAACAGCAACAACAACATGAACACCAACACCAAGACCAACACCAACACCAACACCAACACCAACAACAACACCAACACCAGCACCATCCCCAACCCCAACACCAAAAACAACAACAACAACAACAACAACAACACAAACAACAACAACAACAACAACAACGACAACAACAACAACAACGACAACAACAACAATAACGACGACAACAACAACAACAACAACAATCATTTAAGACTGGGGACACTCCGTTCTCACCAGTGCCAGGGTTTTCATAGGAGGCGGGCAATACCCCCACTTTGTGGGGGGGCCGGTTCAAGCTCTACCAAATTTCCAAACGACTCTTCGCCACCACCCACACCCAGCTTCCCGCCCTATGACGTTCGGACACTTCACTTCGTGGCATGCGGACGACCGTGGCTACTATTCAGGGCCCCGCGGCCGACGACGACGGCGTGCGCGCGCGAAGAAAAAACGAATGTGTCCCGCATGGTATTATTTGACAGGGATGATGGCCCTGGCAGGTGCGCAACCGTTGTCGCAGAAGTTCGAAAAAGTTGCTCGCAAAAGCCCGTTTGACAGAAATGTTTAAAAAGTGTTGGGTTTCCTACGAATCCGCAAGAGCGCGCGGGATGAGATTTTGACATTTTTTTGTTGAAAAACCATTGGTTTTTTGATGTTTTTATGTTAAAATCGCTCCGAACACTAAGCTTTTGGAAGGATTTCGTCTTGCGCGCGCGAATGTCCACTTTACCTTATTTTTTGCAAGGGATTCTTGAAATTTGATTATATTAGAACAAGAAATGTCATTTTATAGTGTTTTTTGCAAGGGAAAACGGATTACAACAAAACAACCGGATCTGGATCACATCGTTTTACCTGAGGCTTCCTCACGAAAATGATGAAAACGTGGCTGCGGCCTAGGCGCGGCGAGGGGGGCGTGCACCAGGGGGCCCAACAATAATTATTCTTAAGAAGAAATAATGTTCAACACCACCAACAACAACAACAACAACAACACCAACAACAACAACAACAACACCAACAACAACAAAACGAGGAGGAGGAAGGAGGAGGAGGAAGTTTCAGGACCAATCCTACGCACCGCCGAGAGAAACGGGAGGGTTGGATCAAGACGGAAGACCTCGAGCGGTTTTCCTCTGATGGGGGGCCACATGCAAACCCGACCCCTACCCCCCTGGATTTCTCTGAGGGGGAGGGTGGGGTTCACTTTGCTCGGGAGGTCCCGATCGAAGGGAACCCCACCCTGCCCCTCGGAAATATCGTGGGGGGTAGGGGTCGGCTTCGCATGTGGCCCCCTATCGGAGACATCTGTGCCCGGGTCGGGGGTCGCAAGCAGAGGAGGAGGAGGAGGAGGAGGAGGAGAAGAGAGGAGGAGGAGGAGGAGGAGGAGGAGGAGGAGGAGAAGAGAGGAGGAGGAGGAGGAGGAGGAAGAGGAGGAGGGACGAGGTCTTGGGACCAGTCCGATCCACCGCCGAGAGAAACGGGGGGGGCTGGACCCAAACCGAAGACCTCCAGCGGTCATCCTCGGAGATGTCCGTGCCCGGGCCGGGGGTCGCCACAGCAGAAGCCCCGGGCCTCTCCCCGCGTGCGTCCCGAGGCAGTCTCGGGGCGGCTGCCCGCATGGCCACGGGCAGCCTCCGGGAGGCTCCGGCAGCACGGAGGAGCGCTCGGCCCTGAGACCTCGTCGGGGCGCTCCGGCAGCACGGAGGCGCGCTCCGGCAGCACGGAGGCGCGGGGTCCCCCTGCCTGCCCCAGACCCCCCTCGAGCCATGAAGCAAAATCACGGCTGGAGGCTGGAGGCTTCCGCCATCTTCGGCATCGCGTGGCGAGTGGGCGTATCTTTCTTCGTGCGCGCGGAATGAGCGCGCCCGGCTCCCGCGCAGTGTTCTCTTCGCAAGGCTCTCACGTCTGCGCTCCCGCGATCGGCCCGTGAACCCCGAGAGGGGATGCAGAACTGCGAGGCCCGGGGGGCGCTTCCGCGCGCCACCTGTGGGCAGTGGGCAGCGGCAGCCCCGGAGAGATCAGCGGTGATGACGCTGTGCCGTGGGCTGCGTCGTGCTCCTCTGCGCTGTGCCGCGCCGCGCTTTGACGTGCCAGGGTGCGCGCCGCGCAGTGTATTTGCGTAGTGTACTTGCGTGGTGTACTTGCGTCGGGGGCCTCCCATGCCGTCCTGTTGGCCCTTGCGAATCGACGCCGACACTAATCGACGCTAGATCGGCGCCGATCGACGCTAATCGACTCCAACTCGACGCCAAATCGGGGCTATCTTATCGACAACCATACGCTGACCGACGCTATTATATTCTGAGGACGGGATTGCGGGGGTATATCAGATCCCCGTGACTTGCTACCGAACGGGCCAACCTGGCGAAACCGCCTGGCGCGAAAGCATTGCAACGCCTGGATCTTAAGGGAACTCTGGGCTTCCCTTTTGCTGGCGATCGCCAGCCTCCCCAACAGGGCTGCGCGCCGCTGGGCCTCCAGGACCCAAACATCTGCCGTCTCGATTTGTTCGTGACGTGGGCCCCCGACCTCTCGACCACCTCCCTGGGACCGGCTCTTCATCCCGAACCGTGTTTTGACGGCCCCGAGGCCCGAACAGAGCCCCGAGAGGCAGAAAGCGAGGACGAAAACCTCCGCCTCGACTTTCCCGAGACGCCCGAGGTCTGGGGATCGGAACTTCCCTCGTGGCGTTCCCCACGGTCGGGCGCGCTCTAACGTGGATTAGGGATACGTGGATCTGGTGTGCGGTTGACAGATCCATGGATCGGGGAAGGTACCTCAGAGAAACGGCGCCAGTGCCGCCCGAATTGGTGGCGAAGCGCGCCGATTCGGTATGGAGACGGGACGCGTCGCCCCGAAGACACCGAAAATCTTTCAGAAGGTCGGAGACATTCTGAGAAGCCATGCCGCCTTTTGAGAAGGCCTTCTCCTTTTCATTTTCCCTTCATGGCGCGCCGTCGGAATCGGGTTTCTGTCGGCCGTGCGGGACGATCCGGGCCCCCCCAGAACGCTCTCGGCGAGGCGCAGCCGCTGGAACACATCCCGAGGCTGGCAGGCCGCCGAACAACCACGAGGACGCCCGAAAACCTCGAACCTCGAGGCCTCTTCTTCTCCCTTCCCCCGTTCGCTCGCCGCCCATGGATCCACTCCTGTGCTTCCTCGACCCAGGCAAACCCGAGCCGAATCGAATCGCGAAATCGGATCGGGTCTGAAACAGATCGGATCGCCCACGAATCGTCCCGAATCGAATCGAAACTGGATCGCCGCGCCTGGCTTCTGTGCCGCACTGACCGATGCTGGAGAAACGGTCTGCATCGAATCAGACTTGAAATTGCCGCCCCCGCTGGCGAATCGAATCGCACCGCACCGGGTCGTGGGCGGCCCTGCCCTCGCCGCGCGCCGCTGCGGCGGGGGGCCTTCCGCGCGGTGTCCCCCGCCGTCCTGCGGGAGTGCGACGCGGCCCGCGGGGGGGGCGGGCCGCGGCGCGTGGAGGGGGGCCGGCCCACCGCGCGCCCCGCTTGTCGGCGGAGGCGCGCCAGCGCGGCCTTCCCGCCGCCCGCCCGCCCCCCCGCCCCGCCTCCTTCGATGCCTGTGATGAGGATCGCGTAACCGATCCCCAACCCCAGCGGCGTGGCCTGGGCCCCACTGGCCGATGTACCCCTCTAGATGGGGATGCAGGCCGTTCCCTTCGGCTTTCGAGGGGTGTATGCCCAACTGGGGGGGGAATGTGGTGGGGGTCTCGAAGGGGATGGGGATGGGGTTGGGGATTGGTTAAACGATACCGAGTCGAGGCAGCGAGAGAGGGAAGGCCAGTGGCCAAAGCCTCTCGAGACAAGCGTCGCTGGGCACGTCTGTCCTCCACGTGGTTGCCCGTCGAGCTCGCCGAGGCGCAGAGAGAGCGATATCAAAGAGGCCAGGACAAATTCCTCGGTGGTTCCACCTCCTCCTCCTCCTTCTCCTCCTCCTCCTCCTCCTGTTCCTTTTCCTTTTTGGCGCTGGGCGAACTTGAGCCACGAAGCTGTCGCGTGCTGCTCTGGCGGGCATGACGTTAGCGTGAAGCAGATAAGCCCTGGTGCGCACTGAATAGCGTTGTCGTCACCTGGGGGCGAAGAGGAAAACCACATCATAGCGTGCAACCTGAAGAGGGGAATCACCGAACAAGACTTGACATAATACGCATGCAAGGATGGAACAGCAATGCAGCGAAAGGGCTTGGCTGCAACGGGCTTGGCTGCAAAGTGCCCTTTCCCCACACTTTCCCATACCAAAATCGCAATATCGAATCCCCCCAGTAGCCGAGCCAGTTAAAAAAACAAAGGAGCAGGCGACGGCGTGTACAATGGTGGTAGGTTTGGAGTCGTTGTCTAGGGCGGCTGTGTACTATTGGAGGTTTCTGTGGGCAGTAATCCACAGTGGGAATGGCCAGGAAGGACTTCATGGACTCATTGCCTTCATGGACGGGCGAGAGGGACTTCATGGAACTCATTGCCTTCAACGGAAAACGCCACCACCCCTGGCGCAGTACGTGCGTGGTCAGGGGGGGGCGGCCCGCACACCCACTCTCCCACTCTCCCACCGTAGGGGGGGGCGGAGTCACTGTGTGCGGGACCGGGTGGGCAAGGTGGGACACCACAGGTAACCCAAACATCAAGGCCCGGGCACCACGCGCCTGGCCAACATTTCAGGGGAGGCACCACGCGCCTCCCCGCCAACTTTGAACGTTGCGTCATGCGTGAAATAACGAATTTACTGTATGCTTTCATTGACTTCACGTTTTCCTCCTCCTCCTTGGGAAACAGAAGTAGCTAGTTGAGGAACAATGGGTGGCACAAACATAAAAAGTTTAAGATTCGCGTGGGTTTCTCGGATCGGTACTGGACCCCCCCTCCCGGGCGCGTGGAGCGCGCCATGGACGGCGCCGGAGGCGCAGCCAGGGGGGCCCGAGCGCCGATCCGAGGGATCCGCACTCGCTTCCGCCGCGTACCCCCTCACGTCCCTCGCTGAAGATTCCTCGGTGATTCCTCCTCCTCCTCCTCCTCCTCCTGCACCTCCACCTCCTCCTGAGGGGCAACGATCGGAGGGGACTGGCATAGCGGGGAAAAAATCTACCTAGAATCGGCTAGACATCGCCAATCGATCGGCGATAGGCCCCCGATAGCAAATCCAAATTTTCCTGGTCGGGTTGGGTCTATTGGACCCAAATCAGCGCTCAATGGGCGATCGGGAATCGTTGCATCCCCCCCTACACCTATCCCACTATCATTGCCCCCGATTCTTGGAACACACATCGACGTACTAGCGGTATGGCCAGAAAACGCCCGCCACAAGGCATACTTTATAAGACATCTGAACGCGCGCGTTTACCTTTGGGGGCGCATTGCGCACGAAGTACTAGTAGGTGTGGGTGACGACGACTTCGAGTCTTGAAAAAATCATGGCGGTAAGTCCTCCGCTATTTTCGGCCTGTGAGGGCCCTTGCCGGGCCTCGGGGCCGTCAAAAAAACAACGCAGGAGGAATACCTCGGCCCGGGGAATGGGTCGAGACCTCTGGGGGTCGACGTTATGAATTGGCGGCGCGCACAAGGGGATGGGGGGAGGGGGGGGGCTTCTTAGAAGCAGGCTGCTTCTTAGAAGGCGCCGGCCTTGCATCTATATAGATAAGGCCCGCGCCTTCTAAGAAGCAGGGGGGCTTCTAAGAAGCCCTCCCCCCTCCCCCCCCCTCTGCGCGTGGCTGAATGATAGAACCATGACGTCTGGGGGCTGGAATGGTTCCTCCTCCTCCTCCTCCTCCTCGTCCTCCTCCTCCTACCGCGGATAGTTGTTTGTAATTCCGGCAGTGGTCGTCGCCCTGGGGGGCGGGGGCGTTGGGGCCCAGGGCAATGGTGACGCCTGGGCGGGGTGGGGCATGTCGGGGAGGGGGGGTGCGCCGCGACCGCCACGGCATGCCCCCGACGCCGCAAGAAACGTGCAAGCTCTCCGTAATCAACGACCAGAACCCTGGACCCCACGGTGGCGGCGCGCACAGGGGGGCAGGGGGAGGGGGGCAGGCTTCTTAGAGAGAGGCTGCATCTTAGAAGGCGCCGACCCAACATCTACAGACAAAGCCCAACATCTACAGCGTGCTTCTGAGAAGCCTTCCCCCCTCCCCCGAGCAGGGACCGACCGTCCCGGCACTCCTACAGGCATGCCACGAACAGCTCCTAGCTAGCACCAAAACATGTTCTAATAACCTAAACAAGGTTCTCAGAAAAGGAACCCGATGTAATAACAAAACAGTCTAGGTCAGAAATGTTCTGAGAACATGTCGTACAAACCACAGAAGGTTCTTAGGTGGGCCCACAGGCAGGCTGCGACGCTTCGCCACTTGCTGGACTCTGCGCGTGGCCGGTGCCCGCGGCCCGTCTCCTGCCGCCTCGGTCCGCGAGTGCCCCAGCACTGGCCGAACGCTGCGACGCTTGGGGCTCAGGACCTCCCCCGGTTTGGGCGTGGCTTCATGGGGGGGTCATCTGCATGGGGGGGTCAGAAGCGGTCCCCTTTCGTGCCCCTCTCGGGCCTCTCTGGAGCCCCAGGGGGCTCGTTTACGTACCGTTTGGGTACCTTTTCGGACCACCCTCGCCCCCCCCCCCCCCTCATTTATGACCCCCCCATGACGCGACGCCCAACTGGCACGCCGGCCTGGCCGGCCGGCCGCTCCTCAAGATCGGGCCCACGGACACGTTGCTGTGGATGATCCCGGAGGCTCCTGGCTTCGCCTGAGGTCGGGCACACTCCTTCTTCCCCGAGACGCGGAAGAGGGAAAGACGTAGACACACTGGCAGGAGGGAGGAGGACCGGGAGGAGGCAAAGGTGGCGGAAGCCACGACGAAGAAAGGGATGAGGAGCAGGCCGGAAGGGGACGAATATGAGGAGCGGCCGTACTTAGATGAGGTCTGGGTGGGTCCAGGTCAACAATGTGTGGATGGCAGTGGCGTGACACTCCATGCCCGTAGTGTAGAAAAGCTTGGCGCTGGGCGCGGCGAGCGTGAACGCACGCGTCTTGTGATGTAAATTATACAAGAGACGCAACAGACATAGTATTCCCGCGGAGCGTGCTGCTCTGCTGAGGGGTCGGGCGTGAGACAGGAACGGGGCAACGCAAGGAAGTGAGTAAGATGGGGGCAAGATAAAAAGTGGCCGATGCAATTGGGGCCGTCCTCGCATCCAAGCAGGTGTTTGTTTTGGCGTTGGCCACAGGGGCAACGGTGGCTGGCCCACCACGCCGCAGCCAGCGATGCATCGGGCGATGCGGCGCAATCCTCTGAACCCCTCTGTCCAGACCCCATCTGGGAGCCCCAGATGCTCAGGAGCATCCAGGCGCCCACCTGCGCGCTGAGCTTCCTCCAGCCCCCCCCCGTCCTCATTGCTCTCCATGCCGGGCCCACCTCCACAACCGCTCCGCAGCTGCGAGGCCCTGGCCAGGGGACGTCGGCTGAACACCTTCCAGATAAGCCAGGAGCTGGTATCCTCAACCTTGGCGTCTCTCCTCCATTTCAGACACTGCATGGGGGCCCTGCAGGGCAATCGAAAATGAATCTGGGGCGAAAAACTACCCCCTGGGAAGGGATCGAGAGCTTTGAGCCCGCGCATTGAAATTATATTCGCATCATCCAATCTTCATCTCGTTTCTTGGTACGTCCCGCTGTGAGTGTCTGGCGGTAAGCGTCTGGGTGTGAGAGCGAGTCTAAGTCGACGACGAGCACGACGAGTACCACGAGTACTACGAGTACGATGACGATGATCATGACGATGACGACGATGACGACGGCCACGGCGACGGCTACGATGAAGGACAGCGACGGCGACAATTCACAGACAGACAGGCGGTGAACAAGCCCCCTGCCATATCGTTCCCCTTACTACTCGTCGTGCCCCCTCCTGTCTCTTCCTCCCTCCTCCCTTCTCCCTTGTCCTGGGTCCTCTCCATCCGCCTCCTTCCTCCTCGATCCTCCTTCCTCCGTCCTGGCGGCCGTCCTTCTCTCTGCATCGACGTGCTCATGAGGCTCTGAATGGACAGGCGCCCGTGGTGCAAAACCGAGCGTCACGCTCCATACATCCCCACGGTCTGGCCGCGGGGGATGCCAAAGCCAGTGCCTCGCTCGAGACATCATCGTAACCTGTGTGGGGACCTTTGAAATCGCCGACGTCCAAGCCACCAAACATGCAAACCGCCTGAGACGGCCCCACAATCCAGGCGGCAACGGGCAAATCTGCCGACCCTGGCGGCTCCTCCTTGGGGTGCTGAATTCTAGCGCCTCCCTCGGACCATCCTCACGGCCTGTTGTGACGGCACCGAAATCCAAGCAACCAAACAAGCAAACCGCCAGAGACATCTCCGCCACGTGGGCGCGAAGGAGCGAGTGTCCCCCTCCCTGGCGACTCCCCCTGGGGGCCCTGAGCCCAGCGCCTTGCTCGAGACATGCTCAAAACTTGCCTCGAAAAGAGAACAGCCCAAGCCGCCAACCAGGCAGACCGTCTGAGACATCCACACAATCTGGGCGCGCACGGGCGAATGTCCCCACCTTTGGCACTTCCTCCCTGAGAATCTCAGATGCCACGCCTGCTACATCGCGATGAGCATGGGGCTCTGACAGGAGGGGAGGCCAAGTCACCAAGCAGGCAAGCCGCTAGAAACATCCTCAAAAATCTGGGTGCGAGCGGGCAACCTTCCCCACCCCTGGCGGTCCTTGGGTTGCTCAAGTGCCACGCACGCTACATCGCGATGAGAATGGGCTCCGAAAAGAAATGAATCTAAACCGCCCAAGAAAACCGCACAAAACATCCACACGATCTGGTAGCGAAGGGGCGAATGTCCCCACCCCTGCCGATTCCTCCTCGGGGTGCTAAAATTTCACGCCTGATGAGTCCACGTCTCTGAAAATATCCCAGACACCAGCAAGGCGAACCGCATGAGACATCCCCGCAATTTGGGTGCGAATGGGGAAATGTCCCCATCCCTGGCGGCTCCCCCATGGGGTGCGCAAGTGACACGCCTGCTACATCGCGATGACCATGGGGGTCAGACTGTATGAATGATGTATGGATGGCTCTAAACACGTTTTGGCTGAGGACGAGTGGATGGAGTGAGAGCGGCGTGCGTATGAGCGCGTTTGATTCTTTGCGAGTCTGAGTGCTCGAGGATCTGAGTGTGAGTGAGACCGCGTAAGAGAGTGCCTGAGTGCCAGTGAGTCTGTGTGAGTGAGTGCATTTGAATGAGAGAGAGTCTAAGTATGAGTGGCCCGAGACAAGGCAGGCGGGGGAAAGGAGGACGGGAGGCGGAGGCATCACACTAATAGCAAGAAACCCACCATTAGGATATGGGGGCAAAACTCATCGGAGGACGCCTGGGGCACCTACCCGGGCCCAGCCTGTCCTGGACCCAGGGGCCGGTGCATCTGCATACCCTCCAAGCCAAGCCAGGAAAGCATGTGATCCTGGGGCCGAAGATGGGCGGGGCCAGACTCGGTTCGAGGGGTGCTGAAGATGCCCCTGGCCCAAGGCGCCCTCAGCATTTCTCAATTTGGGACCCCCTGGGGTCGTCTGGGCCTCGTGAGGGTGCTCCGGAGGCCGTGGGTGCTTCCCTGGAAGTCCTGGGGGCACAGTGGGCCAGGGGCACTTCTAGAAACACCCGATCGATGAGGTGCTCAGCCGACGTCCCCGGATCTGGCGCGCACTTGCAACATCCTGCCGCTTGGGCTGCTCTCTGGCAAACGGGCGCGCGCCTACGCCATATCCGAAGCCATGCGGCGGTTGTCATACCCCCATGATTCCTCTCGGATATCCCTGAGATCTGACGCTGCAAAAAATGTAGCATCGCGAAAAATGACGACCAATGCCGTAGCCCCAATCATTCTGCTGTATTGTTCGAGCCGGGTCGATCTGTGATAGTCTGGGGCCCGAAAGTGGACGCAAACACCCAGCGCGGAAAAACTGCAACGACTGGATCGCAAGGTCTCGGGCAAGACAGGGAGTCGAAATTCATCCGACGGGGCGAGGTAACCCCCCCGCGGCCCCACACCAGGAATGCAAAAATACGGCAGAGCGGGGCAGAAGCAGCGGTGATGGTGATGACGAGGATGGTGGTGGTGGTGGTGGCTGTGGTGGTGTTGATGGTGGTGGTGATGCTGCTGGTGGTGATGACAGTGATGGCCATCATGATGCTGCTGATGATGATGTAGATGATGACTATGATGATGACGATGACGATGACGATGGCGATGATGATGACGATGACGATGACGATGGTGATGACTATGGTGATGCTAATGATGATGAATAGGATGAGGATGATGATGATGATGATCATGATGATAGTGGTGGTGGTGATGATAATGCTGATGATGATGACGATGATGATGATGATGATGACGATGACGATGGCGATGATGATGACGATGATGCTGATGATGGAGATGATGATGATGATGATGATGATGATGATGATGATGATGATGATACTGGTGGTGATGATGATGATGATGACAAGTATGACGATGACGATGATGATGCTGCTGTTGACGATGATGATGATGATGATGATGATGATGATGATGATGATGATGATGATGATGATTATGATGATTATGATGATGATGATGATGATGATGATGACAATGACTCATCCTCGATCCTCGATCCTCAATTCTCAAGCAGTAATCTCAGGCGAGAGTCCCCGCTGCCCGCCTCGGAGGACTCGATGAAGTGCTCCAGGAGAAATCTGAGGCCGATGCGCTTGATGCAGAAGCGGTCCATGATCAGCGAGATCTCGGATCTGAACTCCTCGTAGCGCTCCTCGCTCATCTGCTCTCTGACCTCGCGGGCGGGAGGGCGCTGCTTGTGCGCGGGCGAGGGGTTGAAGTTCGCCTCCTCGAACCCAGTCCCGACAGTGAAAAGAGGATTTCGGTGGCCACTCATGGGAACTTACCATACCATCATGTTGGCTCGTGCGAACCTACACGAATCGACGATAGTTCGACGCTAATCGACGCTAGTCGACGCTGAATCGGCGCTATCTCATGGACCACCCCGCGGCAACCGACGCGACTGCGCTCTGAAGACGGCCTTGCGAGGGTGTACACAGCCCCCATGAAGTGCTACCGAAAAGGATGAAACGATACGGAACCACGGGTGCTCTCCGGGGGGCCCCGAGGCGGAAGGTGAAGGCACCAAAACTTTCACTGCAGGAGCGAGGTTCTGAGGACAGATGGCCCTCGACCGCAGGGTTTTCCCCGGGACCGGCCTGCCACCCTGAGCCTTTCTGCTGGACTTCTCTGGGTCCCAGGAAGGGTCCGAAGAGAAGGACGGAAGATGGCGACAGCCCCAGACATGGCGGCAGCCGCCCCCTCTGCACGCGGAGGCCCAGCGGAGGCGCCAGCGGCAACGAGAGAGGAACACAGAAGGCAGCGCGCGGGAGCGACCAGGCGGGAGCGGATGCAGGCCACCTCCCTCCCCGGACCTCCGAGGTCTTCAATTTTTCAATGCGGGGTCCCCGGAGCTCTGGACCACGTGGGGACCGGTTTTCCGTCCCAATCGTGTTTTGGCTGTCCCGGGGCCCGGCGAGGGCCCCCAGAGGCCACAAACGACGACTCGTCGGCGGTCTGCGTCCTCGGCCGGTCGTGGGGGCGTGGCGCCACAGTCCGGCCGTGGGGGGGGGGGAATCTTTGAGCTCTCAAACGCTGGCCCGTGCACCTTCCAGCGATCTGCGGCAACTCATGGGAGCCTCCCCTGTCATCGACCTGGCTTTCGGGGATCGACGCTACCCGACGCTAGTCGACGCGGATCGAGGCGTTCCATATATACGTGTATATATCTATATGTGTATATATACTCATCCTATGTACTCATCCACCGCCTGCCGAGGTCTCAGGACGTCGATACCCCTGGCGATGGGTATGTGCAAATCCCCGTCTCGGCTGCTTGGCCCCCAAATGTCAAAGACGAAGGCAGGGTGAAGATACGCTTTTCGGAAGAGGATGCCGTCAGGAACTGTTGCTTGTCATGTCGCGGCGGCGGCCCCGGCGACAAACTATGCCTTGGGAGCTGATAGTTGTTAGCGTGTCGGGAGAATGCTCGGAGCGTTGCTCCTTTGGAGTTGGGAAATGAATGGTGGTCAGGAAACGGTTGGAGGATTTATCGGGTGATGCGGCCGTTCCAGACTGCCCCTGGGCGCTCTGACCAGAGCTCTCTGTGGCAATCTATGCTCATCCTAAGCCAGCCTGGAGGTCGTCAAAAAGGTCCCTTAAGGGCTCGGCGCTATCTCGAGGGTTCAAGCAGAACTCAAAACGTCAACAAGAACATGCCAGCTCGAGCCTCGAACCTGTTCCTCTTCTTGGGACGCCCGACAATGGGACGGCAGATTTGGAAAATGACCTACCTGTTCTCCCCAACCGAAAGGCCGCTGTCGGGGATTCCTCGTCACAACCGGGCAACGCTCGTGGCGATGCCGACGAGGAATCCTGCCCAGCGCCTGGGCAAGGACTTTCTCCCAGGTCCTCCACGGAAGCAGGCACCGCGCACCCTCCGAACGAGGATGCTGAGGACAACGACAGTGAAGACGGCACGGAGCACGGCACGCCACGAAGGGGGGTTGTTTGTTAGCCGAGGGGCTTCGCTCGTGCGCACTCCGTGACTCTCTGCCAGGCAGCAGCAGCAGCAGCTCACGAGACCGAAAGGGAATCAAAAGCTACGCCACTGCCACGGAGGGGGGAGAGCAGGAGAGCCCAGAATCGAATCGACAAGTCGGATCGGCGATCGATATGAATCGGATCGGCGGGGATCGGCAGCCGAGTCGGGAAAAGTCGAATCGGCAGAACTCGGCAGGCTAACAGGCCTCCAGCGAGAAATCGTAGCCCGAGTCGAAATCCGATGTCGAATCGGATCGGAATCGGAAGCCATCGGAATCGAATCGGAGGAATCGAAATGAGCCCTGGGAGAGGGGAGGGAGACGTCCGACGGTCCAACCGCAGCACCTCGGAGCACGGCGAGCCGAGACCACGGAGGCTCAGAACCGGCCCCACACGAGCAGGCTGACGGCCGACCACCGGGGTCTCCACCCATCCCTGCTCGGAGAGCCCGGCGCTCCCGCGCGTGCCCGGGGCACCGGCGGTGGCCACCTCCCAGGCGGGGCCCACCGGAGAAGGCCTCTTTGTCTCCACAGTTCGGCCTTAGGCCAACCGCACCGTGGGCCAGCGACAGGGCCCCCCCCCTGGGAAAAACGCTCGCCGCCAAAGCAGGGGTCGGGCAGATCCTGCTGCCCCTCCTCCTCGAGGCGGCTGCCAGAGGACAGGGAGCGGGAGGAGGAGAAGGAGGAGGAGGAGGGGAACAAGGAAGAGGTGGAGGAGGAGCAGGAGGAAAACAAGGAGGGAGAGGAGGGGGAAAACGTGGAGAACGGGACCACCCGAGGCGACCATCCCACCCCAGACGAACGACGAGCGCCGCGCATACTGCTGCCCGCCCTCGTCCCCGTTGTTACTGTCCCCGCTCTCATCTGCTACGTATCAGAGTGATCCTGTGCAAGAGTGTCCTTTGGTGCGCGGCTTTCGAGGAGCCGCGGGGTGGGGGGGGTGGGGAGGGGGGGGGGGGGGGGGGGAGGGGGGGGGGGGGGGGGGGGGCAAAACCCAAGCGCGCAAGACGCAACTGTCGCCTCGCATTCAGCGATCGGGGGGCCCCTGTTTGGTCCGCGTCAAAGGTCAGTCTGGCGAAGGGTCCTTCTTGGGTGTAGTCGATCTCAAACCTCCAGATCTTCGGCGCGCGTCCGGGGAGGGACGGAGGAGCCGGCGAAGAGGCAGCAGGCTGGAGGACCGTGGAGCAGGAGAGGGAAGATTCATGAGATACAGCCGGACCACGGATAGGTGGTAACACACTTCATAAACATGACACCCTCCGCCGTCCAAAAAATACAGAACATGCAAGGGTACCCTCCCCAGGATGCACAATGACATCAAACGGACACCAAAAAACAGCAGTGTACCTTCCCTGGACCGACCTCGACCTCATACCTCGGTCCGACTGCATGGGGGAAGGATTGGGGGAGGCGAGGAGTGCAGATTTCCGGTCCAACGACGGTGTACCCGAGCGTATACCCAAGTGGAGTGAACACCAGTCGCAGAAGTTGACACTGCACACCTGCCTGCCGTCTACATATGATGACGCTCTGCGCACACGCTGGAGGCCGTTCGACATGGCTGGTTCTGAAAACCCTGAGCGCAAAAATGTTGTCACATTTGGGGGGCGCATGTTTTTCTTCCGCCCGTCCGCTGATACATAGATGCCAACCTCTCGATTCCTCGAAGGCAAGGCCCCTCCTGACATGCCTCACATGCTCCAGAGACCCCCGGGACCGCCCAACGCACGTGCGCAATGCAACAAAAAAAGAGAGGAAGCTGCAAGACCCGTAGGCCCCGACAGCCTCGGTCTTGCCCTTGAAAGGCTCAGACAGGAGGGCTGCCCACCAAGAGCGAGGAAGGAGGCAGGAGGGAGGATGAGAAGCGAGGAGGGGCGATGAGGAGGAGCGAGGAAGAAGAGCGACGAGGAAATTTTGTTCATCACCCATCGACCCGAGGGGAACAAAACCCGCAAGGAGGACGACATCGACTCGCACGAGCACAGCGACCACGATCGCGAGCGCCACGGGCCTCGCGGACCGCCTCGCCGAGCCTCGGAATGACGAGGACCGAGTCGTCTAGGATCCGCCGCAGCAGCTCCAGGAAGCGGCGCTCCCCGTCCTCTCTGCTGGAGGAAAGGCAGAGGCACAGGGCGAAGGGTAGGGGAAATCCCTTCGGCTATGGCGCCCTGGAGCGCGCACCCATCACACTCCTCCGGGCAGCCAGCGCCGAGGCGAGAGCGCGATATGCGAGCACATTGACTTCGAAATAGCGACGGTTCTTCAGACGTCCTTGCTTCAGGGCAGGGGGAAATCAAGTGGTGGACTGTCAGCTCAGGAGCAACAGCTGAACTAGTCGTTGGCCACGTTGGTACAATCATTACTCGTCCACCCCGTGCAGCGAGGCACGTCGTGGAGTGTACTCAGATCCCTTCAGATCCTCAATGTTCAATGTTGCCCATGTTTTCAGGCCCCGATACCCCCTACTTCTGGGAATCATGGGCGCATCCGGTCTTGCCGGACGGCTCTCCCCGGAGCCTGGGGAGCATTCGTGCGAAGTCATCCACTTCAGTGTCAGAATTCCAAGGGCCGAGCCCTGCCACTGCGGCCTCAGGTGGAGTTTCTTATGGGGCCACGAAACGTGTGAGCGGTGTGACGAACTTGTCGTGCAGAGGGCAGAGGCACGGGTGGGAGGAGGGAGGAGCGGGAGGAGGGAGGACCGGGAGGAGGAGAGGAAAAAACAGAGACCCAACACCAGGAGAGGAAAAACTGGGAGAACTGAGGAATGGGAGGACGCGGGGCGCTGCTGACTCAAAAAGGGGACACAACACCACAGGATGGTTTGGAGGAGCATGCTGGAACGCCCCCCTGTTTTCGGCGTGGGCTGCTGTAGCGCCGACGCTCGACCAAAAAGCAGGTGCTAGGGCGTAGGCAGTGGGGCCCTTTAACGCTTGCGTTCTCACACAGATCAGGTGCTGAAGTGTTGGAGGTTGGAGGCGGTCGGGGGGTCTGAACTGGATGGGCGTCAAGAAAATCTGTCCAGAAGGTGGGACAACAGGAACAAGTCGGCTCGAAACCTGGTCCTGGACCCCTCCCGGCGTCCACCTGGTGCAGATCTTTCACCCCATATATTCGGGAGCGGCCAAGAGGGGGGTGTCCAAGAGGGGGGGGTGCAAATCATGACCGGCGGCATGTGCGCGGCCCAGCGGGGGGGCCAGGGACGTAATGAAACAAGAAGAGGCGCCATGAGATCTGGGGAAATATCATGGCCCCCGCCATGATATCCACCCCCCCCCCTAGTCATCACCCCCCTCTTTTCCGCCCCCGACATGTGCTTCTGACGGTCCCGGGGCCCGAAGAGGACCCCCTGGGGGCGGCAAAGGCAAAGCCCCTCCTCGAATCCCGAGTCTGGGACCTTCCCCCCCCCGTCCTGCTCGTCGGAACCCATGCTGGGCCACCTCGGACCTCCAGCCAGCTCCAACTGCTCCTCCTCCTCCTCCTCCTCCTCCTCCTCCTCCTCCTCCTCCTCCTCCTCCTCCTCCTCCTCCTCCTCCTCCTCTCCTCCTCCCCCTCCTCCTCCTCCTCCTCCTCCTCCTCCTCCTCCTCCTCCTCCTCCTCCTCCTCCTCCTGCTGTACTCGGCATGGGCTGCTGGAGCGCCACCGCTCGGTAAAGACCACGCGCTGGAGCGGCACACTAATCGGGCCCGTGAAGAAATATCAAAGTCGGAGGGGGAACCAGGAGAGGGTAGGACGAAGCGAGGATCGGGTTAAGCTCGGATCGGGATGAATCAAATCGGGGATCTCTGCGATCCAGCGGCTCTGGAGGATGCACCCGGCGCCGCGACTGTCTCAGAGCGCTCTGGACTTTTCTGAGAGCGTTCCGGAACGCTCCGAGGCGACTTACCCCGATCCTGGGCGTGCCCGAGAAGGGCCAGGGGGCGGGGGTGTTAGTATTGTGCATGCGGCCTCGCTCTCGAACGGTGTGTGTGTGTGTGCGTGTGTATGTGTGTGTGTGTGCGTGTGTGTGCGTGTGTGTGTGTGTGCGTGTGTGCTTGTGTGTGTGTGTGGCATGGGCGCCAGCGCTCTCGGGATGGAAGTCTTCCAGCTCTGAGTGCCCACTTCCTCCTCCCCTGCCTCCGCGGCCGCTCTGTCTGTCTGTCTCAATCTTTCGCCTTGCATGCTGGCCACTTCGCCCTTCGGCCGCCCCGAATTGCTTGACCGGTGGTGCGGGATACCTCTGCCTCGCCGCCAACGACAAAACTGCGTGGCATAGGTTGGTGGGTGGGCGGTTCTGGGCGCCTAGGTGCATGCCGGTGAGTGGGCGTGCGCGTGCGTCTTCAGAAGGCGCCAGTGAGGCGCGCCGCTTGATGCCAAACGGGCGCCACGGATGCAGCCACGACAGAGGCAGGAGTATTGAACTAGGACCGCCCCGATGCACGCCCGCGTGCGCGCAGTTTCTTCTGGCTAATCCTATCTCTGGGACTGTACAGGGCCGTCGAACATACAGTGGGTCGGGCCCCCCCCCAATTTGACAGGCAATCACTGAGGTAGGGAGACGTAAGATTAGATTCGGACCTGAGAACCCCGTGTCTGCAGCAAACACAACGGGTGTGGTGGGCTCATCGCCCTTCCCACCTCCTGCTCCTGAGCAGGGACCGACCGTCCCGGCATTCCTGTAGGCCTACCACGACATGTTCTTCGAACCCAAACACGTTCTAAAACAAAATCAATGTTCAATGTTCTTAGAACATGGATCCGACGTGATAAAGCAAGCCAGTCCCAGCCAGAACTGTCCTAAGAACATTTCGTGCAGACCGCAAAAAGATCTTAGAACATTCTTTGGCGGGCTTATAGGCGAGCCAGAACGTTTCGCCAGTGCTCGAACGGTGGGCTCATCGCTCTTCACACCAACTGCTCCTCTTTCTCCCTTCCCACTGTCCTCGTCGACCGGCTTCGGGAACTCGTCTAGCCAGTCCACGTACTGGCTGTACAGAGACATCCGGCTGGCCCCCGCCAGGGAGGGGCAAGGACAGCAGGTAGGCGCAGCGAGGTAAGGCTAAATCGTGGCCTGAGGGCAGGCTGCCCGGCGGCATAAAATGTGTTAATTCGCGGCGGTATCGGGCGTTATGGGGGGAGGGGTGGGGGCGCGGGTCCACTACCACAGACTGTGATGCTGGACGTAATTCGGCAAAGCAAAGGACTCACTGGGGGGTGGGGGGGAGCGTTATGTTATGGGGGGGAGGGGCGGGACATGACGCGCGCTATGGGCCAGAGGGCACACTATCACTCTCCATGTTCATGCAAACTTCTTCCTTTGGGAATCGGAGTCCAGGAGGTCGTCCATTCCCCGTGGCGCGCTGGCGTGACCTCCGGGGCCGTTTGGGGGCCTCTGGGCATCGAGGTAGAACGCGCGGATTGAAAAACATATCGTCGGAGCGTCATACAAGATAGTCTCAGCCAGAAATGTTCTAGACCACACGCACACGAGGTTCCTATAATATTCTTCGGTGGGCCTATAGGCGAGCCAGGACGTTTCGCCACTGCTTGATGAAGAACCACGCTTGAAACGGTCGTCGCCTTCTGCCAGCGGAGCCGCCCTCGTCTTACTTCGGCCGGCCTCCGCCAGCCTTTTTTGGTCGAGAGCGAGAAGCGCCGGAGACGAGCTGCGCCGAAGGCAAGGCTCCGTCTGGAATGCAACACACGTTGTAAACATGCAGCGGCAGCGCCTTAGACTTAGGTCGGGCATGTCCTCCTACAGGCGGACTTTGGACGAAGAGTGACCAACATTCAACCAATTGTCAAACATAGCGAAATATAGTAGTCAAAACGTCATATGTTTTAGCTATGTTTGGATATCCCTCCTGTAGAGGGACAGGCCCGACTTAACCCGAAGTCCTGATAGAACGGGGCCCTGGGCTCCGGGGCCTTGTCCCGGGACCGGCGCTTCGTCCCGAGTGGTCCCCTGAAAGTCCAAGGGCCCGGGGAGGGCCCCTGCCAGCCGAGAGCGGCGAAAAGCCTGCAAGACAAGTTTCCCTCAGGACCCTGTCCTTCATGGTTCCCAGGCATCCAGCATCGTGACCTTTCCACGAGGTGGACCTCTTCATGGGGACTGGCTCTTCATGCTGGGTCGTTCTGGCGGTGCTGGGGCTACCAATTGCCAAACACCTTCCGTCGTTGTTTTTGTCCACGACACGCGCAGGAGAGGTGGAGGAGGAGGAGGAGGAGGAGGAGGAGGAGTAGGAGGAAGAGGAGGAGGAGGCGGAGGCGGAGGAGGATCGGAAGGGACGACGAAGGATCCAGACCCCCGACGTCGTGACTTCTCATGGCGTGGACCCCCGGAGGCCTCGACCCATTCCCAGGGACCCGCCGGAATAATTTCACGATCCGGGGCCTGGAGAGGGCCCCCGAAGGTCGAGCATTGCCAAAACCCTCCCGCCTTGCGAATTGTTTGCAGGACCCGAGGGCGAGGTCGGGTTCCCTGGCGGGAAACCACGGCCCGGCGGATCGGCGCCTGCCTGGCTGGCTGACGCGGGCCGTGCTGCGAGCCTGCGCGAGGCCGAAGGGCAGCAGCTGCAGCTCCTTGCAGAGCTGGGCGTTGCGGACTGCGATCCGCCGCCGCCCGTCTGGGCTGTCGGGCGGCACCGGCTCGTCGGCGCATCTCCGCGGGGAAAAACATCGTTTTCGTCCATATCCAGTCACCTGGACTATCTGGTGGGGGCGGGGGGGGGGGTGCTGGCCGATAACCTGACTTTTTTGTTTTACTTGGCCAGCTCCACGCATGCCCAAAGCACACCAGTACTGCGTGAACCCCCTGCGGATTTGCGCAACCGACAAGGTCAAATCATCGTGGGGGGCGGGGGGGCGGGCCCCATAACCCGGGGACTGCGATCCGCCGCCGCCCCAACCCGCCTCCCTGGGCTGTCGGAGGGCCCCTGCTCGGCGGCGCATCTCCGCGGGAACGGCTGGAGATCGAGGGCGAGAAGGCGACGGGGGGGCGGGAGAGACCACAGGGACGAAGGCGGGTTGAGGATGGGGGCGGGCTGCGACTTTCCGAGGGGCGGCGCGGCCGTTGCAGAGCGCGCTGGAACGCCCTGAGCGCTCCAATCAGAGTTGCCGCGGCTCATCCTGCGTACTCGTAGGCCGGCCTGCGGCCCTGAGGTCGGGGCGTCGCATTTCTGCTCACGCTGGGCGCTCTCGCCCCTCCTCGGGCCCCGCGGGGGCCTTCGCGGATCGATCCCGCCGGCGAAGAGCAGCGGGACAACGGGTGCTGGGCGCAGGTCCTGACTTCTGGTGGTGCTGTAGTTTGTTCGCAACGTCGGGGCTTAGGCGAGACGCGGATTGAGAGAGGGAGAGAGAGAGAGAGAGAGAAAGAGGGAGAGAGAGAGAGAGAGAGACAGAAGCAGGAACATTCATTTATACATGCCGCGCCGATTGTTCCGCCGCGCGGCCTTACGTCTTGGGGAGGGCGCCTCGGCCACCAAGGCGAACTCCGCCTCGGACGCAAGGTTCGCCGTGGGCCCTGCCGCGGTGCCGACATCGTCTACTCGGGCGCGTTCAGGACAAGCGGCGCGACGACGTACAGGATGCGTGTCAATATGCAGAGAGGAAGAGAGAGAGAGAGAGAGAGAGAGAGAGAGAGCAAGTGAGAGCGCAAGAGAGGAAGAGAGAGAGAGAGAGTGAAGGAGAAGAAATCGACACGACATTGTAGAACACACGACGTCCTCAGCATCAGCTTCTGGAAGCCCCCGCGCACTGCTCGGGTCGGAGAGGCGGGCTCCCATCCCCTGGCGGGCGAGACGCCGCCGGGCGGGGGAAACACCGCCGACCCCAAAGGAAGCCGCGCGAGCCTCGGATCCGAGAAACAGAAGGGGACGCACCAGGAAAGACGAGCTCTGATAAGCAACAAGAGTGCCCCTCAATCCTTTGGGAGGGGACCTCAGTGTGGGAGGGGGGGGAACACGTGAGGAATAATAAAGGGTCTTTCTTGCAGATGTGTCCGAACGGAACCACCCAAGTGATTAGGGAATGCCCTAGAAACAGAAGGGGACGCACCACGAAAGACGAGCATTGATAAGCAACAAGAGTGCCCCTCAATCCTTTGGGAGGGGACCTCGGTGGGGGAGGGCAAACACGTTAGGAATAGGGCGTATTTCTTGCAGATGTGCCAGGACGGATCCACCAACATGTTAGGGATCACCCTGGAAGCAGGAAGGGACGCACCAGGAAAGACCAGCACTGAGAAGCAACTAGAATGCCCCTGACCCTTTGGGAGGGGACCTCGGTGAGGAGGGCCAACACACATCAGGGATAAGAGGATCCTTCTTGCAGATGTGTCAAGCGAAACCACCCAGATCGTTAGGGATTGCCCTGCAAACCGAGGACCGAACTCAGGCCGCGTACAGTGAAAACGTATCTTAAGGATAGGTGGCAAGGACGCAATACCCTTGGAGGCCGAAGTTGGGATTTGCGGACGACAGGCGACCAGTGAAAATGGCAAATGACGGGCAGCACTGGCAAGGACGCAAGGGTACCTTAGAACAGGCGCGCGTCTTTACTATGCGCGTTGACTGTATTCATTGTGTTATTATGGTTGAGGGTTGTATTATGTTTAATGAAGTACGCTGTGCCCTTTTCCGAGGCGTGCGACTGACCCGAACATACAGCACAGGCATCGTGTGGTATGTCGCCTCCCGAGCGGTCGGGCCAGAAAGCGCCCACTGCCGAGCGCATACTACAAGATTTCTCGGAGGGCGCGTCTCGCTTTCGGGGGTGACGCACACTTCGTATTAGTATGTCCGGGTGACGCCGACAGGGGTCTTGGCACCGCCGGGAAGGCCAGGGACCCTGCGTCCTGGTAGGCGATCCGACGCCGCCCCTTCTGGCCCCAGGACTCCAGCGCCCCGAACAAGCCAAAAAGGTTGAGTTTCATTTTGCCATCTTCGGCCTCGGGGTGCCCTCTGTCGAGCTCCGGAGACGTCACAAGGCGGTGGGGTCGAGATCTCTGTCGGAGGGCGCCGGCGGTACCCCTAAACCGATCCTGGCCTGGCCCACCTTTGGCCCAGGATCGGTGTATACGCCGTCCTGGCTTGGCGAAGGCATATGCACCAATACTTGGCGAGGAAGGCATATGCACCAATACTGGAGGGGAAAACGTACTCAAGAAAGTTGGCGAACATTATGGCAAAATGGTTACGAATCGCTGGCCCCGCTTCTACGGAAGAGGTGCCTTAATGAGATGCTCGACCGTAGAAACACGAGGAGTGAGGCTCCAGGCTCGGAGCGGAAGGGGGCGGGAAGGAGGGGCAGGAGAAGGAAGGAAGGGGAACCCGACATTCCACGCGGCAGCAGCGGGGAGACAGCGAATGCGGAAGAGGACGACGACGGAGGAGGGATGAAAGAGGAATGTGACGATCTTCTCAAGTAGCTCGCTGATGGGTAGCGGTGCAACCTCCATGTCGCTCTGGCGCCCTGAATGACGAGCTGTTCGGAATTAGTGCAGGAAGCGAGAGAGGCCCAGCTCGCCTGCCCCGCAGGGATGGCGACGACCGTCTAATCAGAGTCCCCAGCGGCGCGTCACTCCGCTGGACCCCTCAACAGCCCTTGAGAATGGCGACAACTTCGCAGTGCGCAACCACCCGGGATGGCGAGGTCTAATTCAAATCCCCGCAGACGGGTCACTCCGCTGGATCCCCAAGCAGCCATCGAAAGCGGCGACAGCGACAGTTTCGCAGGTCGCAGCCGCTGCCCAGGGATGGCGAGGTATAATCTGAATCACGGGCGGGGCGTCACTCCGCTGGACCCCCCATCAGCCCTCGATAGTGGCGACAATCTCGTCCCACGGGACGGCGAGGTCACGCAGGAAAGCGAGGCAGGAGGCAGGCTGGCAGGCTGGAAAGAGCCAGGTAAGAGACAGTAGAGGTGAGAGGGGAAGAGAGGAGGAGGGAGGCGGAAGGAGGCGGAGGAGGAGGAGGACGAGAAAGAGACGCGGCCCCAGTGGCTCCAGTCAAACCGAGAATCGAGAACCCGACGCAGGAGGGTTAGGAACACGGCACCGGAGATCTGGGACCGGGGCGGCGGCTGCTCGGACCGGGCACGCCCGTAACGAGACCAGACAGCGAGGCGGAGACGGAGCGAGAGAGAATGAACCACACACAAGAGCCAAAGGCGGGGGAGAGAGATAGCGAGAGAGAGAGAGAGAGACAGAGCCCTCGTGAGAGCTGTGTCGTGCCGGGGTGGTTCGCTCGATGAGCCCGAGCCTGCAGGGCGCGGACGGCCCAACGTTGCTCCACTGCTTTTCACACCATTGAATCGTGATTATCTGACGGACCCCTTCTGCTCCTGACGTTCGTCAAGAGGGATCCAGACGAAAGGCCCAAACATGTGCGAATGCAGGCACTGCAAGGCTGGTGGGACGCAGGAGGGGAATCTCCCTGTGAGGCTACGAAGCGTGTGAATGGTGTGTTGACAGGAGCCGGGATGCCCTGATGCGAACGCTCTCACTCGGGTCTTCGCGGAGCTCCCATGATCCCAAAGAAACGTCTTAGGGCCGTGCTGAAAAGAGCCTCCCCAATGCGACACATCCACTGGGACCCCGGGTGGAACTCCCTACAAGACCACGCAGCGTGTGAGGGATGTGCTGAAACTGAAGGCGCCGGCGCAGTCAAACACCGTCACGTGGGCCTTCGGTGGAGCCCCCTGCCACGAAACGTGTGAGTGGTGCACTGAAATAACAGGTGGAAGCGCATTCGAAGACAACCGCTGGGGACTTCGGTGAACATCCCTATGGGGTCACGAAACGTGCGAGGGGTAGGCCGACATGAAAGGCGGGGTCGCATCCGAATCCCGCCACTGCGGCTCCCATGTGGAGCTCCCTTCGGGGACACGACGCGTGTGAGGGGCGTGGTGAAATCGAAGGCGTGAGCGCATGCGAATCCTGCCTCTGGGGAATTCGGTGAGGCTCTCTTTGGAGCCACGAAGCGTGTGAGGGGGATATGAAAGGCGCGGGCGGAGGCGAATCCTGCCAATAGGGCCTCCGTTGAGCTCCCGATTTGTCCACGAAACGTGCGAGCGGTCTGCCGAAATTGCAAGAGGAAACGCGTGCGGTCCCTGCCGCTGGGGCCTTCGGGGGAGCTTCCGCTGGGGCCACGAAGCGTGTGAGCGGTGTGACGAAATTGCAAGCTGCAAAAAATGCAAACCCTGGTACTGGGGCCTGTGGAGCTCATACGGAAAGTGATGGGCATGCCGAAATGAGGTGCGGGAGCGAATTCCAATCATATCACTGGGGTCTTCGGTGGTGCACCCTATGGGGCCACGCAACCTGTGAGGCGTGCGCCGAAATTAAAGGCGCGAGCGCATGGGGAACCTTGCCACTGGGGCCGTCGGCGGAAATCTTTTTGGGGCCACGGAGCGTGAGAGAGGTGTGCCGAAACGAAAGGGGCGAGCGAATCTGAACCATGTCACTGGGGCCTTCGCCACGAAATGGTATACCGAAACGAGCGCATGCGGAGAGGTGAGGCAAGGTATGCGGATGATGACGACGACGACATGTGATATCAGAGGTAGGGACGAGGGGGGAGAGAGAGAGAGAGAGAGAGAGAGACAGAGGAGGGATGGCGGGAGGGAAGGAGGGACGCGGGGCGCTACTGGCTCGAAAGAAGGAACCGACGCCACAAGATGGCGTGGGAAAGTCAAGAAGAGAAGGCAGCTACAGGCTCTTACTTCCCTTCTCTGGGCTGCAGGTCAGGATGCAGCATGCGTCCACGGCGCTCTCACGAGCGGTTCTCGAACGGCGACTGGCCGAACGCCAGGAGACAGAAGCAGAACAATCGACGAGGAACGACTGATGGAAACACCTCCCAAGGCCCGACAACCTGCAAGATCCCCGCGTCGACACCCCAAAAACTGCTGCGAATTTCCGACAGCATCTTGAAGAGACACGCGCCCCCCCCCCCCCCCCCCCCCCACACACACACACACACACACACACACACACACACACACACACACACACACACACACACACACACACACACACACACACACACACACACACACACACACACACACGCACACACACACACACACACACACACACACGCACACGCACACGCACACGCACACACACACACACACACACTCAAACACGCTTTGGCGTCGCGGCCTCGCGCGCAGCACCGAGGCGTACAAGGTCGGAGAACAGGCAGAGGGAAACACGCGCGGACGACCCACTCAAACGAGCACACGCAGACACTTAGGAAGGATGAGGGAGAGCGGGAACAGACGGCAGACATGGGCGCAGCCCTCTGAACCTCCGTGTGCAGGTACTCCCGCATGTGCGTCCGCTCTGCAGCGCCGCCACATCCCCACCTCTGGGCGGAACAAGAGGGGAGAGGGAAACGTCAGCGTATCCTCAAAACGCCAACACTTCCAAATCATGATGGATCCAGTTCCCAGGCGTTCAATCTGCCCCAGCATGACCTAGGCGCCCAGATTGATTAATAGATGTGGTTCCCTCGAACCTGTAAGGTACCTCGAAGGATTCCGACGAATACTCCACTGGGCCCCGGTGCGTAATACCAGTACAAGCACATGCATCTTCCACTGGATCCCAATGTGTAGCATAGAGAGGAGAGAGCAGGGTAGAGTAGGGCAGGGTGGAGTGTTCATCAGGTTTCCTCTAATGCGAAACCCTGGTCAGACCCCCCCATACACATCACATCCAATCATAGAACATTGTAGCTTTATACTCCTTTGCATCATAGGCCGTTTCCTTCATGCTAGAGGCTGTGAGCAATGGATCAACATATCAACCATGAGAATTTAATGAATACCTCAACTTGTCCCCCCCGCGCCTGCGATTTTTACGCTCGACCGCGCGTGTGTCCCGCATGGTCTGGGCGCCACGCGGGCTGGCAGCACGATATTCAATCTCCCGCGGCTGTGGTGCCTCATCGCCGGCGCTTGTAGAAGTGGGCCCTGCTTGGTACAGTCCACCCGCGTAGTAAGGAAGCACGAGAAGGAAGCAAGGGCCTTGGAAAGCCATGTCAACACTCTGCGGGCGGGGCGCGACCAGCGAAAGCGGCCAAGGATGGGCCGAAAGGGAAGGATGTAAGGGGTAACCTTGGGATATTGCTCATCCTTACTATGCGGGTTGACTGTATGCCCACATGGCCATCCTTTCCTCAAATCAACCAGTGTCGACTGCATATGGCTGCTTTCGGCGAGAAGTGTAGGTCGGCTGAGGCCTCGCCCCGAAAGGCTCACTCGCCGATCACGATCGGCACGTCAAAATATGTGCTTATCTACTCAAACGCTCTTGCGAAGACTGGCTCGAGCACTTGGCGCATTCACGCGCGCGCTCACTTGAGCCACGGCGTATCATAACCAAGGGGAGGATTATAGTGCGAAGGATCCACGAAAAACGTCCACTTCTATGCTTGCGTGGGCGGGGAAATAATCTCACGTCCCGGAGCCATGTCATAAACCATGCTCTCCTCGGTCACACTCCACTCAACTCTGCTGTACACTTCAACTTGCGAACTACTTTAGTCGGATTCGCTCTTGTGGTCGCCTGTCCACTCTACGCCTATGCCCGCTCATATGCTCTCCTTCATTCGTGCTCAAACCAGCTCTACTCTACGCTGCGCCTCCGCTCCCCTGTGCTACGCTCTAGTTACGCGAAGCCACCTCTCAACAATCGGTCTACGGTCCATCAGCTGTACTATGCCACTCCACTGTTCGATTGCTCAACTACCTCCTGAACAAATATACTACTGCACTACTCTGCAAGGGCACGCGGCTGAATCCCACTGAAGGAAAATGGGGCTGGGACATCCCCCCTTATCATGCTCCGTGGTCCCCGGACCCCCCCTTGACCCGCGCCCCCCTCCCCTCCTTTGGCCACGCCGCACCCCTGGATCCGGAACCCTAACCCTAACACCCTCCCACCTCAACCCGCACACCTGAACCCTGGCACCTTCTGACATTACCACCCTACTACGAAGTACTAGCCCTAAGACCCTCACACCCTAACGCCCAAACACATTAGCGCTAACACCCTAACCCTAATACCCGAACCCAAACACCACATCGTTTCCACCCGATCCTGAATACCCGAACCCTACAACCCAAAAACACATCCACAAACCCTACCACCCTACCCTAACACCTACAGAACTAACCCTAACGCTGAAACCCTGATCCGAACACCCTAACCATGACACCCTAAACCCTAACCATATACCCTAACCAAAACACCCTATCCCGAGCACTAACACGCTAACACACTAACACCCAAACCTTGACACCTTGCCCCTAGCACACTAACCCTAGCAGCCGAACCCTAAGCCTGACATGTAAAGTCTACTACCCTCACTCAAACCATGACATCCTGGCCCTAGCACCATAACGCTTCCACCCTGACACTAGATCTGACACCCTGACCCTGGCACCCTAATATCCTAAGCCTAACACCCTAACCCTAGCACCCTAACCATAGCAGCAACACCCTGGCCCTGACGCTTACAACCCTACCAGCCTAACCCTAGCAGAACCTAACACCCTAACCCTATCATTCTAATACGATCACCCTAACCCTAACACTTACACTTAAACCCTGGCGCTTAAACCCTAACCCTACCATGGCAAACTGGCCCTAGCACTCTAACGATCCCAACCTAGACCTAACCCTGACACCCTAAAACCCTAGCATAACACCCTAAATCTCACACCCCAATACCAGCACCCTAACACTAACACCATAACACCCTAAACATAGCACCCTAACCCTAGCCCCCTAATCCTAATCCTGGCGATTGAACCCTACCACCCTAACCTCAACAGGCCCCAACTCCCTAGTCATATCACCCTAAAACGGTCAGCCGAATCCTAACCCTGACACTTCAATCCGACCGTCCTAACGCAAACCATGGCACCCTGGCCCTAACACTCGAATGCTTTCACCCTGACCAAAACCCTGACACCCTAGCACCCCAATCCCAACCCTAACACCCTATCCCTAGCACCCTAAGTCTAACCGTAACATCCTAACACCCCAAACCTAACGTGCTGACACCCTGATCTTACGCCTGGCACCCCGGCCGAAACACCCTGGAAGCATAATGCGAAAATGCTAATTCTAATCCGAACCTATCACCATACCCATGCCACCTGTACCCGGCCACCCTAAACCTGGCACAACAACACCCGAAAAACCGATGATCATAACTCTAACACCCGGATCCTAATACCTTAAATCAAACCCCTGACCGTAAACCTTTAATACCAGAACCTGCTGACAATCACCCAAACACCCCCGACCCACCACATAAACCTTAATACCCGAATCCAAGTCCTGACGCACGAGCCCAAACATCCAAATACTGACATCATAACTCTCTTCACCATGAACCTAACACCCTGACACCCTAATCCTAACATCCTAGCAATCACACCCTGACACTAACACCCTAACCCTAATCCTAACCCTAACCGAGCACCCTTCTCCTAGCATCCGAACCCGACCACCCTAACCCTAACCCTGACACCAGAACCCCAACACCCGAATCCTAACACCCGAAAGCCTAATACCCGAACCCTAACACCCGAATCATAATCCCGAAACAATCTAAAGGCGCTAGCCCTAACCCCCTAACCTGCCAAGAGAGGGGGGGGGAGTCGAAACCGCAACCTACCCCTCCCTCCGTCGCAAAGGGGGGGGAAGGGGGGAGGGTCGAAACCCCCACCTCCCCATTTCGAAGGGAGAATAGGGGCCCGAAAACAAAACACCACTGCATTCAGAGTGCTTAAGCACACCCGCCCTCTTCAATTAAAGGGGATCCATTGGCGCTTTTCCCTACTCGAACTCAGCCCAGGAAAGCTACTCCAATATAATACTACTCCTGTCCACGTATGCACTGGTATCCTACTACGCTGCGACCATACTACTCGACTTCTCCATCTTGTGCTTACACTGCGAGTGCCCTCCCTCGACACTCTACTATCCAAGAATACTCCACACGCGTATTCCACATGCGAAACAGGTAAACGGGACATCTCATGTCTGATACTTTGAGGTCCCCCATTTTGCTGCAACGCGACTCTGCTTCTGCACAGCACTGCACGAGCAATCCCCATGCGGGACTGAAATGTGGGACATCTACCCGTACTACGACTCGAATGCCCAACTGCTTGACACGTGCGTTCCACATGCGGGAATGGCGTGTGGGACACGAGCGAATACGGCCCTGCGGGAGAGAGCGGGGACCCTGGGCTCGGAGGAAAGGCTTGCAACATCCACAGGCGACTGGTTTACGGACCACCTTGAACATCCGAAAAGAAGGTCCCATAGGACCCTCATCCTTCGATGGTACTCGGTGATAAAGAAGGCACAAATCGTAATAATAACAACAAGAACACAATCATCGCCCGCCGGCATGGGGTCGCAGCCAGTATTGACAACAGGGCGTGTCGCACATCTGCTCCGTAGAGCCCCTCGGCCACTTCATCTCCTCCCCCAGACCTCCCCCCGTACCCTCGATTGCCTTCATCCTCCTCCTCATCCTCCTCCTCATCTTCCTCCTCCTCCTCCTCCTCCTGCTCACGCTGGGCACCTGTAGAGCTCCCTCAGGGTCACGGGCGTGGCGGTGTGCCGGGCATACTGCTCGACCCTGTGAGGGTGGGAAGAAGGGAGGGGGGCGGGAGGGGAGCAGAGGGGAGTCGGATGACGGGGGGATCTCTCGCGTTTACCCCCCTCGCCCCACCACCTCCTCGTCCTTGGCAGGGCAGCTAGGGGGCAGATGGAGGGAGGGGGACGGGGAGGGGAGAAGTGGGGGCGGGAGGCGAAAAGAGAGGGGAAGGAAGAAGGTCAAGATGAGAAGGGGTAAGGAGGGGGAGGGAGGAGGAGGACAGGGAGGGAGGGAGTAGAAGGAGAGGGGGGAGAATGGAGTAGGAAGAGGGGGCAGGTATGGGGCAAGCTAGGTGCAATTACGCCATATTGGGCATCCTACCTCTCCCACCCATCCCTTCCAATTGCGCTGTTTGTTTCTCTATCCGCGGATGTGTGTCACCGAGAACCTGGAACTCCAAAGACGATCCCATCATGTCGTGCGCGTAATGAAAAGGGGGAGCCGTGTATATTGGAGCAGGACTAGCGGATGAGAAGGAGAATGAGCTAGAGGAAGAGAAGGATAAGGAAGGAGGAAGGCGGTGAGGAGCACCGGCAGCAGGAGCAGGAGGAGCAGGAGGAGTAGGAGGACCAGGGGAAGACGGGGGAGGTGAAAGGCAGAGGCGACAACGACGAGGAAGCACTCGGATCCACAATGTTGCCCGCGCTGAGGCGAGCGTGCTACTCTGAACGACTGAAGAAGCAAAGCGTCGATCCACAAATGAGGCCGACGCTGCAGCGGGAGAAACCTTGTGAGACACCGAAAGCGTCCCGACTGGAAACGACCACATGAGAAGCATCCGCCAGTGTTTGCATCACGTAGTGGAGTGCCCCAAGGCTCATGCAGCCCTTGAAAATTTGTTGAAAGACCAGGCCACCGGTTTCACAAAGATTTCCGCGGATTTCCGGGGATTCCCCAGGATTCCCAGGAGTTTCCGGGGATCCCCCTGGGATTTCCAAGGATTCCCCAGGATTCCTCCACCGTGTCGCGCGCGTCCTCTGGCAGCGCAGCCGGCCGAACATGGGCCCAACAGCGCGCTGGAGGGCCCAAGATGCATCCGAGAAGGCCCAAGAGTGCCCCGATACGCCCAAGGCGTCCCCAACACGGCCCAAGAAGCCCCGAAGACGTCCCAAGAGTGTTCAAAGAGGCGTGCCCCAAGAGGCAGACATCAGTGATGCTCCTTATGTTTTTGGTTTTAGTTTTTGGTTTTTCGCCTTTTCGGCCTTCCGACTCTCCAAGACGGCCCACGAGGCCCCCAAGATCGCTCCAAGACGGTCTCAGAGGCCCGAGGGCTCCAAGACAGCCCAAGCGGCGCCCAAGACGGCCAAAAAGACCCAAAGAGGGCCCCAAGAGGGGGCCCAGATGGGGAACCCGAACGGACATTTCGAGCCCTCAGCAACGAGGGCCCCCTCAGAAGGCCCCAAGATGCGCCCAAGAGGCGGCTCCCAAGAGGCCCCAAGAGGAGGCTCCCAAGAGGTCCCAAAACTGTTTCCAAGAGACCCCGGAGAATGCCCCGAAGAAGCATCCCTGAGAACTCTGACCCGCAACCCAGGCACGGTGACGGGATGAATGAAGAGGGGCACGAGCTGGAGCATGAGCATGCTGCCATGATGGGCTGGAGCACCGAGGATGGGGGGATGCAGCGTCGGGAACGAGGCTCCCAGACCAGGCAGCCGAGCGAGCCTCCCAGAGAGGGGGGGGGGGGAAGGCAGGGAAGGAGTGCGGAAGAGGGAGCATGAGGACCAGAGAGAAGTAAGGAGGAGGAGGAGGAGGAGGAGGAGGAGGAGGAGGAGGAGGAGGACCAGGATGGGGAGGTACAGATGGAGGACGTGGAGGTGGAAAAGGAAACTAGGGCGAGCGAAGGGAGGAGAGGGTTAGGAGCTTTCTTATTATTCCTCCTCGTGCCCCTCCTCCGCCCCCCTCTCCTTCTTCCGCCTCCCCCCAGGGAAGGGACCCAGGAAATGCAGGCGAGGGGGGATGGTGTAGAAGTGGAGGATATGGGAAAGCGGGGAAAAGAGAAAGGGGAGAGGCGACAACGAAGAAGAAAGCACAAATATGAATAATACTGAGAAGACGAAGAAGAAGGACACGGCTGGAGACGGGAGCCGAGACTGATAGCTGACTTCCCTCGAAAACGTGCGCTTGCGCTGAAGGTGTCCGCGCGGATGTGGGCAACAGTGCGCCGCCAATTGCTGTGAGGGTCAAGTTCCTGGGTTCTCGCGCCCGACATTCTCGATTCTGGGCTCCTGGTTTCTCGCGGATGCTGCGCGACTGTCGCAAAACAACATCTCCACAACGCTCGGTATGCGACCAAGATCCATGGGGGCCCGGGTTCCTGATCTTCAGTCACGCACCTTGGGCTTCGAAAGCGTACACGGTAGCATGTGGACAGAATACAGAATAGTGTTGAGCAGGGAGAACTGCAAGGAGAGGGCAATAGTACCAAACAGCATAGCGCAAGCCGTAGAGGGGCGATGATAGAGACCAAACGTGTCTGCGGAGGCACGTGAAAGTAGAGAGCACATGACACAGAGCTGAAGGTATCGAGAGAGTACAGACTATCGACTGATCAGAAAATACATGGCCGCCATCTTTTCTCGCATCCACTACTGACTGCCCACCACGCCATCTCAACCCAGACCGGCGTCGCCGTTGGGCCTGCCAGTTTCCAGTGGGGGGACGCTCGAGAACATCGGGAATATGCAGTGGAATCCGCACATCTCCCAGCACGAAATTTGCAGGGGTCTGGGACCTTCGGGTTGGGTTGGTGTGGTGTGGTCAGCAGTGAACCACTTGCACGCGTCCTCGACAGGACTCGCGCGAACAACTGCTGTGGGGGCCCTCCAGTGCCAGGCATGACGGTATCTAGTGGCCCGCGCCCTGCGCCGTTCTGAGCTCCTCTCGGGAGACACGACGGTATGCGAGCTCGTACCATTTTGGACTCGCCGCTTGGGGCGCAGATCGCAGATCCTGGGGCCCGGAGCGTCGCCACCCCGTTCGTCCCTCTCCTCAGCCTTCTCATGCCAGCCGCCCGCCTGCGGCTGACCGCAGGCAAGGACCGCCCAGCCATCGCCCCTCGAGCCGGGCGGCTGATCGGCAGCAGGCCCAGCCCACGCCTCCTCCTCCTCCTCCTCCTCCTCCTCCTCCTCCTCCTCCTCCTCCTCCTCCTCCTCCTCCTCCTCCTCTCCTCCTTCTCCTCCACGGCCTCGCTCCCACCCACCCTCCCCCTCTCCCTTCCTCCGGCGAACTTTGCATGTACCTTCAGGGAGGGTGGCGGTGTATAAAGCCGCTGGCTCCCAGTGGTGATCTATACACCGCCACCCTCCCACGAGGCCTGGGAGCATTCCATCTGAGGGTGCCTGTGTATATGTTTATGTGGTGGATCCCAAGCCACCATCAGCAGCAGCGGGAGCAGGTGCACGGAGACCCAGAGGCCCCGCCAGCGGCAAGGAACACACGATCTCGCCGAGAAGGCCAAACACTCCAGCCTCCGCCAATCCACACACCGCGGGGTCATCCCTGAGATGGCGCCAGGCGCCCCCATACAAGTTCCTGTCTGTGCCCGCCGGGTGTGGAAGCCACGGCACATCCCGGGCCTCAGGGGTCAGGGGCTGAATGAAGGTCGCCGAAATTATGCATTCTTTATACTAGAGAGAACCCAATCAGCGGATGGCTTTGGGAATTAATGGCATGGATATTGAAATCGATTGTGAGAGCTATAGTGAGATCGATGGTGGGATCGATGGCGAGGACGATAGCAAGGTCGATCGTGAAACCGATAGTGAAGTCGATCCAGTGAGATCGATAATGAGATCGATCGTGAGATCGCTCGTTCGAAATACAGTGAGATCTATAATGAAATCGATAAGGGGATCGATCGTGAAATCGATCGAGAAATAGGTAGTGAGATCGATGGTGCGATCGATCGATCGGGAGATCGACCAGGAACCTGGGAACCCGGAAACCCAGAAACCCGGGAGCCCGGAAACCCGGGAACCCCGCCTCCCAGCGAAATTGACCCCGAACCAACAACTGGGAACCCGGCAACCCGGACCCGGGAACCCAGGAACCTTGCGGCGGCCCACTGAAATCGGCCGCCCACTTTCGCCAAATCCTTCAAGATCCGCTCGGACCCCTTCAGTGCAAGCAATGGTTTGGGAATCTGGTCGATGTATTGGATGCACTCCAATCCATACAGGGAGGGAGATTCGCGTCCACCTCCAACAAAGAAGTTCCTGGGGAATCACAGCGTACTGAATTCAGTCCTGACGGACTGGAGCGTGAGAGGGCACCTGTACCCACCAACCGCTAACACGCTCGCCGGGGATATCTGCCTGCCTGCTGCTGCCCTAGAGGGCTCCACAACGCCAAAACATAAGAAACTGCAGTTGGCTGATCACAGCCATTCACGTGCGATGTTCCTGAGGAAGCCTGCGGGAGACTTAATCAACAGCTGAATACGTTTCGCCTCCAAGAAACTTCATACGGCGCTGCCCCTGCCATCATCCTCCCAGTACTCCTTTCTTGCCTCGCACTCTCCTCCTCTCTTCTCTGACTCTGTCCCGATAGTGGCTGGCCCTCTCCGCGTACTGTCTCTAACCCACAGGAGCTGTAGCATTGTGTTTCTTATGTGCGCTGCAACATCCAACTGTTTTCAGTGCTTCAAGATGGTATTCCCACTGCCGCGTGGGCCGCATCTTCGGATCGGCGCTATGCTCCCATCATTCGGAATTGGGCTCTCGCCCCAGCGTGGGCGTTCCGTGTGGATCTGAATCCTTGTTCACCGTTGTCGTTGCCTCATTTCCCCTCCTCCTCCTCTTTTCCTGGGTCCTCCTGCTCCTACAGCTCCTTCCACTCCAGCTCCTGCTGCTGCTACTCATCCAAGTCATCCTTCTTTCTCCCCCCTCCTTGTCTCCTACCCATCCCTCTACTCATCCGCCACATCCTCGTCCAAAAAAAACGGCTCCTGATTTTTCCTACTGCGCATAACATGATGTGGTCCTATTTTGAGTTCCAGGTGCGCTATGGCACGCGTCCGCGGATAGAGAAACAACAACGCGGTGGGAAGGGATGGGTGGGAGGGGTAGGGTGTAGGATGCCCTTCAGAACCTGCCAAACAAGCACCAACACCCTCCCCAATCCACCTCCATGCTCCCGCCTCTTCCTATCATCCTTTCTCTGGCTTTATGAATGTCTGTCTTTCTGTCTGTCTATCAATCGTTCTTTATTTCTTTCCGTATCCCTCCCTCTTTCTCTCTCTCTCTCTCTTTCTCTCTCCCGCGTGCGCAGCGCTAAAGCCCCGCGCTTCGGCTCGAGGAGCGCGACTCCCACGAGCCCTCTGGACGTAGGTGGTTTAGGGAGTTTCCTCTTCCATCCCCCTTCTTCCCTTTCGGGGAGGGGTTACCCCTCCCCCCTATACTCCTTCGCCGGACCCGGACGGGGGGGGGGGGCGGCGAGGTGCCAGACGGTACTTGTTCGCCCAAGACGGCTCCAAGAGCGCCTCGGAGAGCCCAATATTACCTCAAAGATGCCTCAGGATAGCCTAGGATGCCGCAAGAAGGCTCCGAAGATGCACCAAAAGGCCCCCAGTCCGCCCCAAGACGGCCCCAAGAAGCCTCCGAGACATCGAAGGAGGCCTCCAAGAGGCCAAAATCCTTCAAACACCTAAGGGAGACTTATGATTTGTGCATCGTCGCCCGTTCGCTCTCCATAGCCTTCCGAAGCCTCAAGATGGCTCCAAGATGGCCCGAGAGGGCCCAAGAGCGCTACAAAAGCGCTCTAAGAGGCGATGTTGGGGGCTCGCGAGGGGCAGGGCGAATTGCGACCATCCCTTTCTTTGATCGGTGCCCTCCAAGATGGCCCCGAGAGGCGCCCAGGAGGCCCTAAGGGGCCCCAAGATGGCCCCAAGATGGGCTCCAAGATGGCCCCAAGAGGCCCCCAGAAGGCCCCAAATATGACCCCAAGCGGCCCCAAGAGGCCCCCTCGAGGCACCCAGGATGCCCAAAAGCCCTCAAGGACTGCCAAGAGACCCCCAAGACGTCCCAAGAGACATCCGAGAAGCGCCCAAGGGAGATCCCAAGAGGCCCCGAAAGGAATCCAAGAGACCTCTTGCCCTTTTGTTTGCCCTTCCCCTCCTGCTCCTCCTTCCTCGTCCTACTCCTCCTCTTCATCAAACTCCTCCTCTCTTCCTCCTCCTCCTCCTCATCATCCTATTACAGATTCCTTCTCCCCACTCCCTCATCCATCCATCCAGCCTCCTCCTTCTCCTCCTCCGTCGTTCGCACAATTCGGCCGTCCACCTCTTTGCTCCCGCACTTCCCTGATCGCCTCAACTCGCCCGGACATCGTTTCTGGATGGGCTGGTGGGGATCATCCGCACCGAAGCGTCTAGAAATTCTTCCTCATCCGCACACCCCCTCCTCCTCCTCCTCCTCCTCCTTCTCCTCCTCGTCCTCCTGCTCCTCCTCCCACCTCCCCCCTGCCCTCACTTCCTCATCCTCCAGCTCCCACCTCGCCCTTCTCGTTCCCCTCCCTCCCTCCTTCATCACCCTCCTTCTCCGCCGCATCCTCTCCTCCTCCCCCCTCCCTCCTCCTCCTCCTCCTCCTCGTCCTCCTCCTCCTCCTCCTCATCCTTCTCCTCCATCTCGAGCGCGTTTCTGCATCTTCGGCGATGACGGGCGTCATTGGGGGGGGGAAGCGGGGGGGGTATGACGTAACGCCCCCCCCGCCGTGTGGCTCGGGCACCACAGCCGCGCCCGCGCGTACGACGACAATGAGCGACGAGCGACGAGCGACGCCGACGATGACGACGACGACGACGAAGACGACGACGACGACGCGAGCATCATGTAGGTGGCGATCTGCCCCGCAGCGCCTGTGTACACCACAATGCTCGCATGCACCACAGCGCGCGTGTACACCAAAACGCCTGCGTACACCGTAACATCCGCGTGCAACGCAGCGCCTGTGTACACCACAATGCTTGCGTGCACTACAGCGCCGGTGTACACCACAGCGAATGTGTACACCGCAGCAACCATGTGCAACACAGCGCCTGTGTACACCCCAATGCTTGCGTGCACCGCAACGCCTGTGCACACCACACCGCCTGTCTACACCACAGCATCCGCGTGCAGCGCAACGCTGGTGTACACCACAGCGCCTGCGTACACAGGACATGTAGGAGGAACGTGTAAGTGATGATCTGCTGCGGACAGCTAAACGTCACGCCAGGGAAGTACTGATAATACAATTCAGCGTTCTTCCCTCCTCCCTCCTCCTCCCCCTCCCCCTCCCCCTCCTCCTCCTCCTCCTCCTCCTTCTCCTCCTCCTCCCTCACCCTTCCCCCCGTCGTGCGGGTCGGAGCTACAACGCACGTGCGCATCTCAGCGTGCACTGCAGAATGGTCGATTGAATCAGTCCACTTGGTTTTCGGACGGCCAACTTTGCGGGAGCCTCCTGGACGCAGATGGGGCGAGTTAGGATGATGCGGGCGGACTCGGGAAGACTCATCGATTCCAGCGGCGCTCCTTTTTCCATAAATATTCCAACTCCTGCATAAAACAACTGTTTTTTTGTGGAAGCCACAGAGGCTCTATTGTGTCATAAGGGTTCCTTCTAACATTCTACATACAACACTGGTGCTCTGTTGCGCACGGTTGCTCTGGTGCGCACAAGCGTCGTGGTGTACACAGGCGCTGTAGTGCGCGCAGGCATCGTGATGTACGCTGGTGCTGTGTTGCACACGGCTGATGTGATGTACGCAGGCGCTGTGATGTACACAAGCACTGTGGTTCCCGCAGACACTGTGGCACACTCAGGCGCTGTGTTGCCGGCGGCTGCTGTAGTATACATCGGCGGCGTGGTGTACACATGCGGTGTGGTGCACGCAGGCACTGTGGTGTACACAGGCGTTGTGGTGCAGATCGCCACCTACATGCTGCTGCTACCCGTCCGCGGATATTTCTATGTAGGCATTCCCAGACGCCGCCGGCACGAAACGTGACGTCATCGGCCCCCTCCCCCCCCCAGATGATTGCCATCATCGGCCCGAATAAAAAAAAGGATCCA